GGTTGCCCAGTCTCGGATGAAACGTGGACAGTTATTTCACGTGCTACAGCAGAAGATGAGTGTTTGCAAAAGGTGATTCAAGCCGTAACATACGGGTGGTCTGTACAAGCTATACCATACCCCTTATTGGTCAATACAGGGATGAGCTATCTGGACTTGATGGAATTCTGTTTAAGGGTTCAACAATTGCGATAGCAAGTGTGTTACAGAAAAATGCCGATCAAAGTACACGAGGGCCATCTTGGGATGGAAAAGTCAAAAGACGTGCAAAAGCAGTCTTATTCTGTCCCAAGATGCATGCTGATATATTGCAGACAGTTAGAGCCCGTGAAAACATGCCAGAAATACAGGTCAAAACAGAGCAAAGAGGAAAAAGAGGTATCTCTTTTCTCTTGAGGGCAATAACTATGTTCTACTGATGGACTGTTACTCTCATTACCCAGAGAGCTTTGCTGTAGGACACTCCTGCTAGTCAGGTGATTACTGACATTAAGTCATTCTTTGCTCGCCATGGGGTCGCAGAGGTAGTCCGTACGGACAACGCCTCACAGTTTCAGCTTTCAGTGATTCTGCTAAACTGTGCGGGTTCAACCATGTCACATCCAGCCCACTGTACCCACGGCCTAATGGGTTAGTCGAGAACGGTGTCAAAACGGTGGAACTACCGCTTAAGAAAGCTCTCAACTCAAAGACAGATCCGTATCGATCTTTGTTAAACTACAGGGCTACTCCACTAAAACATGGTCTGTCTCCTGCAGAGCTCTTGTTCAACTGGAAACTCAAAACAAGGTTGCCTAGAAACGGGATGACAAGAAACTATGACAAAGGTTCCAAGGTGCTCAGTGCACTCAGTCCAAATGATAGGGTGAAAATGCATGATGGGAAAACATGGAACGTTGAGGCTTGTGTAGTGAAAACAGTGGCAACCAGGTCATATGATCTAATGACACCTGAGGGAGTTACATACAGGAGAAATAGGAGACACTTGTTTCATGTACCTGAGCGTGAGCAAACAGACAGGCGAGAGAGTGACATTACAGGGCAGACCACTTCAAGCCCAGACACTCCTGTGTCAGACCCACCTGTTGAAATGAGACGGTCAGGCAGGGAAGTAAAAGCACCTCAGAGGCTGATTGAGGAAGTAGAAATGTGTTATTGAAATGCAGTGTTCACTATGCAAAGAATTGCAACCAGGATTTATAGAGAACTGTTATTGTTTTATCTTATAAGGGAAAAGGCATATCTTGATAAGGGGGATGTGGCATATTGTATCGGAGGCCACGTTATCACTTAGGGGACACGCAGCCCGAGCACAGCAGTGGGAGAGCGGGAGATCCCAGCTCAATGCACTATACTTGTACGGCTCCGGTTAACTTGAATAAAGAAGGACTAATGTTTTAAAGAACAGTTGTTCTTCAACTTCCGGACCCCCTCCGGACCACCCCCCAGCCATCCTCACGTTCTTTGTGCCCCCTCAGATTTTTTGGGTGCATGATGCCCCTAAGCATTATTATTATTATTACTATTATTATTATAAGTATGTTAAGAAGGTATTCAAAACAATTAGTCAAGTTGTGTGCGTAGTTGCTTTCGTATTTTAGGGATTACTGTGAGTAGCGGCTTACTTTGCGTCATCACTGTAAGTAGCGGCTTACTACTGAGTCTCCCTTTATATGGCTCTTGTATAGGATAAATTACTTATGCTATATCTGTTGTGGAGTATATCTGTTGTAGGAAAGGGACGATTTTAGCTAGCTAGCCGCTGAAGGACAACAACACAACGAGATGCAACAATTCAAAAAAAAATTCTGTCAATAATGAGGTTTGGCTTGGGATGTGATTGGTCTGAAGCCAAATCCAAACAGGCTTCCCTTGACAGTTTTTTGTTGTTGTGGCCAGAACCATTCACAGCTGAGCTCACTCAGTTTAGCTCAACACTGATTGGCTATTATTTTATATATTTTTTGCCAAATATTCTCGCTGGCGGCAACCTATTGGGAAGTGCCTTCTGTTAAGTAAATCAGGTATTAAATGAGGTGAAAAGGAGACTGGAGTGCCAGTTTAACCCAGGTCAAGTCCCACTGTCCATGCTAAAACAGGCTTTGGGCCAAGTGCTTCCTCTATCCAACTCTATGGGTAAGCTCATTGACTACAGGTATAAATAAAGGATAAGACTTATCTACAGAACCCCTCTCTGGTTTCTAAACACCATCTGTTGAAGCTTAAACCACCATAATATCACCCACCACAGTGCCATAGTGTCAATTCAAAGCGAATGAAGATCATTTATCCCTGATTCATTCACTTTGAATTGACACTATAGGGATTGGTAGCAAGAGAGGTAGAGAGAGAGAGAGAGAGAGAGAGAGAGAGAGAGAGAGAGAGAGACAGAGACAGAGACAGAGACAGAGAGAGAGAGAGAGAGAGAGAGAGAGAGAGAGAGAGAGAGAGAGAGAGAGAGAGAGAGAGAGAGAGAGAGAGACAGAGACAGAGACAGAGACAGAGACAGAGACAGAGACAGAGAGAGAGAGAGAGAGAGAGAGAGAGAGAGAGCTCTACCAGGAAGGGACTGGGACCCTTTTTTTAAGCTGCTGCTACTTGCTGTTTATTACTGTATCTATGCATAGTCACTTTACCTAAAGTGTACCACTATCGAGTCGATGTACAGGTGTTCGAGGTAACTGAGTGCATTCTGTGCATTCTGAAAGTACAGTGCATTCTGAAAGTATTCAGACCCCTTGACTTTTTCCACATTTTGTTACGTTACAGCCTTATTCTAAAATTGATTAAATATCTACACACAATATCCCATAATGAAGAAGCGAAAACAGGTTTTTAGAAATGTTAGCAAATTTATTAAAAAATAAAAAACAGAAATACCTTATTTACATAGGTATTCAGACCCTTTGCTATGAGACTTGAAATTGAGCTCAGGTGCATCCTGTTTCCATTGAACATCCTTGAGATGTTTCTACAACTTGATTGGAGTCAACCTGTGATAAATTCAATTGATTGGACATGATTTGGAAAGGCACACAACTGTCTATATAAAGTCCCACAGTTGACAGTGCATGTCAGAGCAAAAACCAAGGCATGAGGTCGAAGGAATTGTCTGTAGAGCTCCGAGACAGGATTGTGTCGAGGCACAGATCTGGGGAAGGGTACCAAAGAATGTCTGCAGCACTGAAGGTCCCCAAGAACACAGTGGCCTCCATCATTCTTAAATGGAATAAGTTTGGAGCCACAAACACTCTCCCTAGAGCTGGCCGCCCGGCCAAACTGAGCAATCGGAGGAGAAGGGCCTTGATCAGGGAGTTGACCAAGAACCTGATGGTCACTCTGACAGAGCTCCAGAGTTCCTCTGTGGATATGGGAGACCCTTCCAGAAGGACAACCATCTCTTGGGCTCCCGAGTGGCACAGTGGTCTAAGGCACTGCATCTCAGTGCTTGAGGCATCACTACAGACCCCCTGTTTCGATTCCAGGCTGTATCACAACCGGCCATGATTGACGGCCTACACCGGGTTTGGCCGGTGTAGGCCGTCATTGTAAATAAGAATTTGTTCTTAACTGACTTGCCTAGTTAAATAAAGATTAAATAAAAAATTTAATAAATTAAAAACTCCACCAATCAGGCCTTTACGGTAGAGTGGCCAGACAGAAGCCACTCCTCAGTAAAAGGCACATGACAGCCCACTTGGAGTTTGCCAAAAGGCATCTAAACGACTCTCAGACCATGAGAAACAAGATTCTCTGGTCTGATGAAACCAAGCGTCACATCTGGTGAAGCATGGTAGTGGCAGCGTCATGCTGTGGAGATGTTTTTCAGGGGTAGGGACTGGGAGACTAGTCAGGATCGAGGGAAAGATGAACAGAGCAAAGCATAGAAAGATCCTTGATGAAAACGAAGGTTCACCTTCCAACAGGACAACGACCCTAAGCACACAGCCAAGACAATGCACCCGGTCTAAGGTTGTGATGAGGTTGGTGATGAGTGGCCCAGCCAGAGCCCAGACTTGAACATTTTAGTCATTTAGCAGACACTCTTATCCAGAGTGACTTACATTTTTATCACACTGGCCCCTCATGGGAATCAAACACACAACCCTGGTGTTGCAAACGCCATGCTCTACCAACTGAGCTACATCCCTGCCGGCCACTCCCTCCCCTACCCTGGACAACTTGTGCGCCACCCCATGGGTCTCCCAGTCAAGGCCGGCTACGACAGAGCCTGGATTCGAACCAGGATCTCTAGTGGCACAGCTAGCACTGCCTTAGACCACTGTGCCACTCGGGAACCTGATCAAACATCTCTGGAGAGACCTGAAAATAGTTGTGCAGCGATGCTCCCCATCCAACCTGACAGAGCTTGAGAAGAATGGGAGAAATGTGGCAAGTTTGTAGCGTCATTCCCAACAAGACTCGAGGCTGTAATCGCTGCCAAAGGTGCTTCAACAAAGTACTGAGTAAAGTCTGAATACATATGTAAATGTAAAATTTCAGTTTTATATTTTTAATACATGTCCAAACATTTCTAAAAACCTGTTTTTGCTTTGTCATTATGGGGTATTGTGTGTAGATTGATGAGGAAAACAATTTTATATGTGGTCCTCTGTAGCTCAGTTGGTAGAGCACGGCGCTTGTAACGCCAAGGTAGTGGGTTCGATCCCCGGGACCACCCATACACAAAAAATGTATGCACGCATGACTGTAAGTCGCTTTGGATAAAAGCGTCTGCTAAATGGCATATTATTATTATAAATTTTAGGATAAAAGTGAAGGGGTATGAATATTTTCCGAATGCACTGTACATGTACATATTACCTCAACTAACCTGTACCCCCGCACATTGACTAGGTACCAGTACCCCCTGTATATAGCCTCGTCATTCTTTTTTTATAGTGTTTTCTAGTATTTTTGTAACTTTTTTTTATTGTTTACAAATTGCACTTGTACATTTCGTGCCAAGATGACCCCGTTATTAGCCAAAAATAATTATCATGGGCATTTGCTTCAACTGCCCTATGGTCAGTCTGTTTCTGACCTCTACCTCACAAGCCCTAGCTTCGGCTAAAGGCAGTGTTACAAAAACAACCTGTAGTTAGTTAACAAATGAACAAATTGGTTTGAGGCGGCTTGCAGTGAATGGGCAGACGACACAGGTTCAAAGACCAGTCGGTCAACACATGGCACTGACTCTGCAAATAGTTCTGTGAACTAACAAGACCCAAAAAGGTCCAAGAGGCAATAGGATTGGCCCCGCTGGGTGTCTATTTACGTGGTTTTGGGTGCAGTGGGGGGCCTCTCATTCCTTTATCTTAGTCAGGGCCAAACGCCTCGTATTAAACAGTTAACCTCTTGACATGCAGAGCTTTTGGAGCTTTTCGCAGGCTTCAGGTAGTGATGGTAGAAAACCCTCTTATGGATGGGTCCTTATACTGTATACATGGTATGGGGATTCTGTTCGTGTTCTTCAATGACCACAAACACTACATGATCTAAGAATGGAGCATGTGTAACATGTGATCTGGGTGCTTGCGTGATGAGTAACTCAGCGGGGAAGGGTGTAACTCAGCGGGGAACCTCGCAGTGTTGTGGTGCGCAGATGACCCGGGTTCAAAGACCAACGGTACCCCAAAAAAAGGTGCAACACGCTGGAGATTGGCTCTGGGAGTCTGGGACTGGAGATTGGCTCCGGGAGTCTGGGACTGGAGATTGGCTCTGGGAGTTTGTCACCAGTTTGTTATTCAACTCTTGGCATGCAAAGCTTTGGGGGTCGTTCCATTGCTGAGCAGGGTGACCCAGTTGCCCAAAACAAGCCACAGTCCACCCACACAGATGGCCATCTGCCCAGCCTGTCCCTCCCTGGGTGGATCAGGGGCTCTGTGGGGGTAATCTCTTCAAAAGATCAGAACCTTGGTCTCCAGCGTGCGAAACCAACGTCTTAACACACCCGATACAAATAATCGACTAATCACTTTCTCTATCTGGACCATGACGATTAGCTGAATAAGGTGTGTTACTGCAGGGCTGGATCAAAACCCTGCACACCCACTAGCTCTCTAGGACAGGAGTTGGACAAGAACCCCGGTCTAAGGTCGTGATGAGGTTGGTTAACCCTGGTCTAAGGTCAGCCCCTTAGAGCTTGACCTCTGAACTCTGACCTCTGTTGACCTCCAGGTCAACCCCCTGCTGTCAGGACCACAACAGTTAAGACAAGCTTATAACAGATACACTATATATAAAAGAGTTTGTGGACACCCCTTCAAATTAGGGGATTCTGCAATTTCAGCCACACCCGTTGCTGACAGGTGTATAAAATCGAGCACACCGCCATGCAATCTCCATAGACAAACATTGGCAGTAGAATGGCCTTACTGAAGAGCTCAGTGACTTTCAACGTGGCACCGTCATAGGATGCCGCCTTTCCAACAAGTCTGAGCATCAAATTTCTGCCCTGCTATAGCTGCTGCGGTCAACTGTAAGTGCTGTTATTGTGAAGTGGAAACATCTAGAAGCAACAACGGCTCAGCCGCGAAGTGGTAGGCCACACAAGAACACACAACGGGACGCCGAGTGCTGAAGCGCTTAACGTATTAAAATCGTCTGTCCTCGGTTGCAACACTCACTACCGAGTTCCAAACTGCCTCTGGAAGCAACGTCAGCACAAGAACTGTTCATCGGGAGCTTCATGAAATGGGTTTCCATGGCCGAGCAGCCGCACACAAGCCTCAGATCACCATGCGCAATGCTTACTTTATCCTATCCCAGGTATTGACTGGGCTGAGCGGGAACTGTGCTTCCGCAGAGGTAGGGGGGCCAGCAGGCCAGAGGTGGATGAACGCAATGCCCTCGTTTGGGTGTAGGGACTGATCAGAGCCTGAAGGTACGGAGGTGCCGTTCCCCTCACAGCTCCGTAGGCAAGCACCATGGTCTTGTAGCAGATGCAAGCTTCAACTGGAAGCCAGTGGAGTGTGCGGAGGAGCGGGGTGACGTGAGAGAACGGGGTGACGTGGGAAGTCACGATTCTTTAAGTTTTGTGTATATAGACTACAGTACTGGAAGCATCAGCGTAATAGGGGCTTGCATATACAAGAGCCCTTAAAGGGGAAATCTGCAGTTCAAACAATAACTAAATCGGTTAACGCCACTTTTGGGGGGTAAACAGCTCAGGGATGGGGCTGGAGAAATGTAACCACTCTTAAAATCATAGACACAGCTATGGATGCATCGGACTGACCATCCAGGAGATGAACCATGTTTGGAAGCTACTGTGTTTGTTTACAATTACATTTGATAACAATGGAGTTAAACAACAAGCAACAAGCTCATGAGGCATTAAGTTATACTCTTCAAGCATCAATGCGCCCGAGTGGCGCAGTGGTCTAAGGCAGTGCTAGCTGTGCCACTAGAGATCCTGGTTCGAGTCCAGGCTCTGTCGCAGCTGGCCGCGACCAGGAGACCCATGGGCGGCGCACAATTGGTCCAAGGTAGTGGAGGGTTTGGCCGGCAGGGATGTGGGTTCGTTTCCCACGGGGGGCCAGTATGAAAAAACAAAACAAAAAACATGTATGCATTCACTAACTGTAAGTCGCTCTGGATAAGAGCGTCTGCTAAAATGTATATATAATGCATTTTATAAAGTCCTCTAATGGAGGTACCAGTCCCCTTTAATAAATCATAAACAAAAGCTCTGAAGAGCCATTATCTGGTGTCCAAGTTACAGAAAACAGAAAAAACTACTTTCCCGGCTCCAAAGTATCAACAGTCAGAGCATCTCTCCATCCCAAATCCCCAACCAACCCTAGTGGAGCCAACTGGGCCTGCTTTGGACTTTTCACTCCAGACCTAATTAGCTGTGTTAATAGGATTTGGCTTCTGGTGGTTCCATGTTGTAAGACATGAGCTTTAAACCACAGAGACTACCCGAGTGATATTTAGCCTCTGAAGCTGCAGAGGAGCGACACTTTGACTTAGTAACCCTTGAACAGTAGCCCACCTAACAACTCATTGTCTTTTTATCTGGAGATCTTGATCATCTAAGGGGTCTTCAATCACCTCAACGACCTGTCAATCAAACAATCTTCCTGTAGGAGATCGTTTGTTTTGTTTTAGCACACGTTTAGTGACTGCAAACCTGTTTCTGTGTTGCTAAGCACCCAGAACATCTAACCGCCAAGATGTCGATGGACGTGCCTGAGGATCTGGAGATGGAGGGAGAGGAAGGGATCGACTCCAAGGAGCTGAAGAAGCAGCTGGCAGAGTCCAAGGCAGTTAAAGTGCTGATGCTAGGTAAGTGAACCAACCCATTGGTGTGAATGTATGGGAGATGCTTCGGAGACATGCTCTTGTGATGAGTAGCCCTGTCTGAAACTTGTAAGGCTGGAGAATGTACTTTTTTGGTCTAATGGCTAAGATGTTGGGATCCCCCATTAGATTTGGTTCCTCTTCATAAAGGAACTGAAAGGCAATTATTTCAGCTAAATACCATGGAATCGTAAACAGGATATTTGTTGTGACATGTGATGTGATATCAGAGATTTGGTTGAGGGCAGTGGTGGAAAAAGTACCCAATTGTCATACTTGAGTAAAAGTAAAGATACCTTAATAGAAAATGACTCAAGTAAAAGTGAGTCACCCAGTAAAATACTACTTGAATAAAAGTCTAAAGGTATGTGGTTTTAATATACTTAAGTATCAAAAGTAAATGTAATTGCTAAAATATACTTAAGTATCAAAAGTAAAAGTACAAGTAGAAATCATTTCAAATTCCTTATATTAAGCAATCCAGACGGCACTATTTATTTTTATTTATGGATAGCCAGGGGCACACTCCAACACTCAGACATTTTACAAACAAAGCATGTGTGTTTAGTGAGTCCGCCAGATCAGAGGCAGTAGGGATGACCAGGGTGGTTCTCTTGATAAGTGTGTAAATTGGGCCATTTTCCTGTCCTGCTAAGCATTAAAAAATGTAACGAGTACTTTTGGATGTCAGGGAAAATGTATGTGGTAAAAAGTACATTATTTTCTTCAGGAATATAGTAAGGTAAAAGTTTTCAAAAATATAAATAGTAATGTAAAGTACAAATACCCCAAAAAACGACTTAAGTATTACTTTAAAGTATTTTTACACCACTGGTTTGTCTTAAACTGCCACCCAGAAGCAAGGAGGGACCACAGGGATAGATCTAAAAAGATTTCAAATGAAATTGAGATAACATCTGTAATTTTCACATTTAATGTTTCTGGTGTTGAATATCAAATGATATCATACTCTCTATGGTCCCATTTCCATCAAAAACAGACAATAAGGCCTAGATTCAATCAGATCAAGCGTCAACTGGCGATAGCCGACACCCGCATGGCGGACGTTTTGGCGAAGTCGGAGGTGGAACTGCGTTGGAGCTGTTAAAATCGGTGAACAGCTCCAACGCAGTTCCACCTCCGACACATCAGCTATGCAGATGTCGGCATCGCCGGTTAATGCTTGATCTGATTGAACACCCGCATTAGAAGTTCAGAACGAGAAAGTGTAGGCTATATAGAAATAATGACGCTCAAATTGAAAATCATTCAGCCTAACCAACGTGAAGATTACTTCTCACATTCCAGTGTTACAACTTGTAAACAAGTCTGCATGGGATTTCTATTGTTGCGACTGTGCAGCCAATGGCAATGTCCGCTTTAGGTTTAATGCCCGGCGTTATGAAACTGATGATTTGTCCCCAACAGATGGTTTGTTTACGTTTCTACCGTTGTGGCTAGATGGAGGCTTACAGCTCCATCTAGTGGTTGCGTCGGGGACAACAGTTGTTGACAACTAGCGTTGTAGCTAAACCGAACTCTAATCCTTTTCCAAACCTTAACCTCATTCTCCTAATTTGCTGCATTAATTCACCTAACCTGCCATGCTAAGTCACCTAACCTGTCACTATAATTATCCTAACCTGCCACATAAATTATCCTAACCTGCTATGTAAACAAATCCTCATTACTACCACACCGGAACTGCTTGTGGATTTGACAGCTCTATAACAGTTCCGCCTCCAACACCGTCAGAACAACTGCTATGCAGATGTCGGCTGAAACGGATCTGATTGAACCGGGCCCTGAGTACTGATTCTGTCTGTGAATTGAATATGCACTTTGTCTGAACATTGACAGTTAAGAGCAAACAAACACACACAGATCAATGCATAATGTTCTTTTTCTCTGAATGTTTAAGCTATATGTGACTGAACCTAGAAAAAAAGGAACAGATTGTTTGTGGTTTCTTAAAGTACAGATTCAGACCTTGAGGTACATTGAGGTACATTGCTCTCTGGGGTACATTGCTCCCGCCCAGTGAGTCCAGTCCAGGGGAAAGTCAGGACACAGTGAGATGGTTAAAGAATTACTACTAAAAGGTCCAAGCGAAACCAGGAACCCTGCCGATGAGATGCCAAGCCGATTACACTAACTGGTTTAGCCCAGACAGTAGACCCATGCTCTCCTCTGACAGCATTCACCCTTTCACACTACTGTGCCAACCCAATCCAAACTGTACTGTGCTGGCTCAGAATTTAAGTATTATTTTTTTACACAGTTCTTTTTACAGCACAGCACTCTTCCAGAACCTATGATGTATGGATTCAGATGGGCTCTGGGATCAGCTGGATTTAGCTGGGCTGAGCCTCAGTAGTGCCAAAGGGTAATTCCCTTAGCCTCTCTGCATGTCACCAACTTAAAGGCTCAGTCAATGCCAATGATCCTAATCCAGAAACAGGTCTCAGTATATATCCAGATACTGGAAATAGACAGATCTATTTTGATAAGCCTAACCAGACCTACTGGCTAACCCCGAGGTCTCCGCAAGCTGTTTTAGCAACTTGTACCCTTTTCACACTACTGTGCCGAAACTAAGTCAAGATGAGCTGATTTGGCCTGGTTCCACTTCCACTGGAACCGTGCTGGAAAGGTGGTGTCATGTCTCACACAGTGCTCTCACTCCTACTAGTGGTAGTGTAAAAAATAGTGTTGTGTTCTTTAGCAGACAGTGTTAGTGTGACCGACTGACCGGGGTTCAAATTCTGTGTTAGCCCTCTGAGCTAAAGCCTAGACATTAGATTGGAGACAGGGGGAGATAACACAAATCTTAAGGTCTCAGGTTGCTGAGCAGGCAAGCATAGTTCAATGAACGACTTCTGTTACTTTAGCTCTTGTCTTGATACAAAGTGGCAAGATGACATGTTTCCAGGTTGCATTATGCTTGCTGTGTTAAGACACAGGACACAAAGGCCATCCATAACACTCAGCAAGGGGGTTCGTGAAGAGGAGGGTGGGCCAACCTTAATCTGGAAGGGTACTGAGCCCAATGGGTGCTGTCTGTGGCTAGGAGTGGCGCAGGGCTCAACCAATAGAAGCCTCTCCATCAGAGGCTTCTATTGGATGACGTCCCTCTATGGTCTCTATTACTGTTGTGTTGTTGAATAATCTAATCAACTTTACTACAATTACAGGATGACATTATATACTGACTGGCCTGGTTACAGGATGACATTATATACTGACTGGCCTGGTTACAGGATGACATTATATACTGACTGGCCTGGCCTGGTTACAGGATGACATTATAACTGACAGGCTGGTTCGATACATATATACCTGGCCTGGCCTGGACAGGTGAAATATCTGACTGCTGGCCTGGTACAAGGACACTTATACCCTGACTGGCCTGTGCCTGGTTAAGAGACATTAATACTGAAATGGCCTGGCCTGGTTACAGGATTACTTATATGACAGCAGCTAGTGGTTAAGAGCGTTGTGCATACCGAAGGTCGCTGGTCTATCCAAGTGATAGGTGAAATCTGTCGATGTGCCATTGAAGGCACTTACTGATTGCTCTGTAATTTCGATAAGAGCGTGCTAAAGATAAAATACTGGCCGGCCTGTTACAGGATTACATTATATACACGCGCTGGTTACAGAAGGCGGTACATAGTGTGATGATTAATTTAACTTATTTGATAATTAAGTAAGGCCCCTCCACCAGAGACACTTAATACATTAAACGTAAACACAATAAAGCCTGAGGACTTATTTCCAGTATGGTCCTCTCTGAGTAACCTCTTTCCATTACGGTCCTCTCTGAGTAACCTCTTTCCATTACAGTCCTCTCTGAGTAACCTCTTTCCATTACGGTCCTCTCTGAGTAACCTCTTTCCAGTATGGTCCTCTCTGAGTAGCCTCTTTCCATTATGGTCCTCTCTGAGTAGCCTCTTTCCATTATGGTCCTCTCTGAGTAGCAGTAGTAGTATGATGTTTAAATAAGTGACACCAAGGCCTTTGTCCTGAAGTGTCTGAGACCCAGTGAGGCCCAGAGACTTCAGTGAGGCCCAGTGAGACCCTGTGAGGCCCAGAGACTTCAGTGAGGCCCAGTGAGGCCCAGAGACGTCAGTGATCTCCTCACAGACTGTCCTCTTGCTCTATTGTCACTCTTCCTCATAATCTAACTGGGTCACATTAGTGAGTGGTGTGTATTATGTTTCAGTAGTGCACTATATAGGGAATAGGGTGCCATTTGGGACTTAACCTATATTTCTCTAGCCACCAGGTCCAAGAGTATTCTTAGCCTGAGGTACTTTAACTTTACTGTAATTATGTTACATATTGTGTCACTGATAAAAGTCAAAAGATATGTAACGAAAAGGCTTTTGTTTTGACACTTTACCACCAGCAGGACTTACTGTTCTTCTAATACATTACATTATCTGCCTGTGTCACTGATGAAAGCCATGTAATGAAAAGTTAAATGGATGACATTTAACTGTCAATAAATTGTGTATTTTTGTTTTCTTTCAGGTGCTGAGGAGTCGGGGAAAACAACCATCGTAAAACAAATGAAGTGAGTTAATTAAAAACTGAAGCCTCTCACTGTGAATGTGGGGCAGCTGAGAGAAGTGAGCCACAGTGTCACAAATACACCACTAGGTGGCAGTTTGGATAAGTGAGCAACTAACTACTTCTTCTTCTTCTTCTTCTTCTTCTTCTTCTTCTTCTTCTTCTTCTTCTTCTTCTTCTTCTTCTTCTTCTTCTTCTTCTTCTTCTTCTTCTTCTTCTTCTTCTTCTTCTTCACAGAATCCTCCACCTGGGTGGTTTTAATAAGGAGGAGAAGACGAAGTACAGAGAGGTGATCTTTGGTAACATCCTGCAGTCAGCTCTGTCCATCGTCAGAGGAATGAGCATCCTGGGGATCAAGTACGGATCACCAGCCGCAGAGGTGGGTACTGCAGGCTGGGTGTGTGTTTGTAGAACTATACTATAATATAATATACTATTACCATACTACAGTATATTATACTACACTGTATGGACCTGTTATACTAAACTATACTGACATATGTGTTGTTCTCTGTGTCCAGGATGAGGGCAAGAAGCTGGAGAACCTTTCCAACTCTATTGAGGAGGGCACCATGCCTCCTGCGCTGGCTGACTGCATCAAGAAGCTGTGGATGGACCCTGGCATCCAGGAGTGCTTCGAGAGAGCAGCTGAGGGCTACCAGCTCCTCGACTCTGCTCACTAGTGAGTTAATCTATCTGCCTTTATTACTCAGGACCCGTATTCACTAGTGTCTCAGAGTAGGAGTGTTGATCTAGGATCTGTCTTATTCCTTTTGATCTAAAAGGCGAAACCTGATCCTAGATCAGAACTTCTACTCTGAGACGCTTTATGAATACGAGCAGCTTTGCCATTTACAGCTCCCTCAGTGATCTGATCTTGATTGATTGACTCCGCGACTCTCCCACAGCTCCCTCAGTGATCTGATCTTGATTGATTGACTCCGCGACTCTCCCACAGCTCCCTCAGTGATCTGATCTTGATTGATTGACTCCGCGACTCTCCCACAGTTCCCTCAGTGATCTGATCTTGATTGATGACTTCCGGACTCTCACACAGCTCCTCATGATCTACTGATGATTGACTTCTCGGACTCTCCACAGCTCCCTCAGTGATCTGATCTTGATTGATTGACTCCGCGACTCTCCCACAGCTCCCTCAGTGATCTGATCTTGATTGATTGACTCCGCGACTCTCCCACAGTTCCCTCAGTGATCTGATCTTGATTGATTGACTCCGCGACTCTCCCACAGCTCCCACAGTGATCTGATCTTGATTGATTGACTCCGCGACTCTCCCACAGCTCCCTCAGTGATCTGATCTTGATTGATTGACTCCGCGACTCTCCCACAGCTTCCTCAGTGACCTGGACCGCATCACCGTGGCTGACTTGATCCCCAATGACCAGGACATCCTACGGTGCAGGATCAAGACCGGCGGGGTTAACGAGGAGAGGTTCATCTGCAAAGACGTCAAATTCAGGTGAGTGTAACTGGTGCGATTGAACCGGGGACCTCTTGCACAACAACCCAACGTCTTAACCATTAGAGAAAATCCTTGTGATCTGAGAGCAGCATTTGGGCTTACAACTCTAAAGGCCGTGTTTACAGAGGCAGCCCAATTCCAATCTTTTTTTCTCACTAATTGGTCTTTTGACCAATCAGATCAGCTCTTTTGCCATTGCCAATTACGCGGCAAAAAAACAGAATTGGGCTGCCTCTGTAAACGGAGCCTGTCAGGGCTATGTCTTAACGAGAGTGTGATTCCAAATCACCTCCACTACACTAGCTCATTACTGTAGAGACTTATAGTGTGTGATTCCAAATCAACTCCACTACACTAGCTCATTACCGTAGAGACTTATAGTGTGTGATTCCAAATCACCTCCACTACACTAGCTCATTACCGTAGAGACTTATAGTGTGTGATTCCAAATCAACTCCACTACACTAGCTCATTACTGTAGAGACTTATAGTGTGTGATTCCAAATCAACTCCACTACACTAGCTCATTACTGTAGAGACTTATAGTGTGTGATTCCAAATCAACTCCACTACACTAGCTCATTACCGTAGAGACTTATAGTGTGTGATTCCAAATCACCTCCACTACACTAGCTCATTACTGTAAAGACTTATAGTGTGTGATTCCAAATCACCTCCACTACACTAGCTCATTACTGTAAAGACTTATAGTGTGTGATTCCAAATCACCTCCACTACACTAGCTCATTACCGTAGCGACTTATAGTGTGTGATGTATTTGTTTTATTTGTATGTGATCGCTGCTGGAATTGAACCATCAACCTTGGCATTGCAAGTGCCACGCTGTCACCATTTACACCAACTATGTGTAAAAAGCACACACTGGAGGAGCTGTGATATGTTCCTGATGCATGCTCACGGTGATGAAGTGATGTAGCTGCTGACAGCTCCTCTCCTGTAAAAAAAAAAGGGCTTGATTGGTTAACTGATTGCTGTCTCTCTCTGATGGACAGGATGTTTGATATGAGCGGTAGAAGAGAAGAGAGGAAGAAGTGGATCCACTGTTTCGAGGGCGTCCATTGCATCCTGTTCTGTAGCGCCCTCAGCGCCTATGACCTGGTGCTGCTGGAGGACGAGGAGATGGTGAGTGATTACACGCGCACGCACGCACGCACGCACGCACGCACGCACGCTTCAAAGTTAAAACTAAAGGAGACTACCTCACTGGGGACAGTTGAGAGGGAGATCATTCAACCACACCACAGGAGACGCTGATATGATTCAACCACCACAGGAGATGCTGATATGATTCAACCACACCACAGGAGATGCTAATATGATTCAACCACACCACAGGAGATGCTAATATGATTCAACCACACCATAGGAGATGCTAATATGATTCAACCACACCACAGGAGATGCTAATATGATTCAACCACACCACGGAGGATGCTAAATGATTCAACCACACATAGGAGATGCTAATATGATTCAACCACACCATAGGAGACGCTAATATGATTCACCACACCACAGGAGATGCTATATGAGTCAAACCACACCACAGGAGATGCTAATATGATTCAACCACACCATAGGAGACGCTAATATGATTCAACCACACCATAGGAGATGCTAATATGATTCAACCAACCCCAGGAGATGCTATATGATTCAACCACACCACAGGAGATGCAATATGATTCAACCCACCATAGGAGATGCTAATATGATTCAACCCACACATAGGAGACGCTAATATGATTCAACCACACCACAGGAGATGCTAATATGAGTCAACCACACCACAGGAGATGCTAATATGATTCAACCACACCATAGGAGACGCTAATATGATTCAACCACACCATAGGAGATGCTAATATGATTCAACCACACCCCAGGAGATGCTAATATGATTCAACCACACCATAGGAGACGCTAATATGATTCAACCACACCATAGGAGACGCTAATATGATTCAACCACACCATAGGAGACGCTAATATGATTCAACCACACCACAGGAGATGCTAATATGATTCAACCACACCACAGGAGATGCTATTATGATTCAACCACACCATAGGAGACGCTAATATGATTCAACCACACCATAGGAGATGCTAATATGATTCAACCACACCCCAGGAGATGCTAATATGATTCAACCACACCATAGGAGACGCTAATATGATTCAACCACACCATAGGAGACGCTAATATGATTCAACCACACCATAGGAGATGCTGATATGATTCAACCACACCACAGGAGATGCTGATATGATTCAACCACACCACAGGAGACGCTGATGTGATTCAACCACACCACAGGAGATGCTAATATGATTCAACCAAACCTCACTGGCTTTTGACAGCAGCTAGTTAAGGTTGTTGACTGTTTTGTAGCCCAACGATGATCATGATGATGATGATGATGATGATGATGATGATGCATCCTTCATTCCTCTGCCCTCCTCTTTTCAGAACCGCATGCACGAGTCTCTCCATCTATTCAACAGTATCTGCAACCACAGGTTCTTCGAGGCCACCACCCACGTGCTTTTCCTCAACAAGAAGGATGTCTTCCAAGAGAAGATCAAGCATGTCCACCTCAATGTCTGCTTCCCTGACTACGACGGTGAGTCCTACTCTGAGTCCCAAATGGCAAAAAGTTGTTTTCCCCTGAGCTTTTGACCTTTCGTTTGGAGTTTATTTACCATGTGTGACGAATGAATGAATACATTGGAAATCTTTCTCAGCCGATTTGTTTAAAAAGTTTAAAGTTGTCACGTGCTCTAGTTCAGTGAAATGCCTTTCTTGCTAGCTCTTTCCCAACAATGCAGCAATCAATATCAGTTTATAGAAAATTGTCTAGGGTCAGTAGCTATATACAGGGACAGTTCCAGGGTCAGTAGCTATATACAGGGACAGTTCCAGGGTCAGTAGCTATATACAGGGTCAGTGCCAATCCCATATTTACAATGTGCAGGGATACTGGAGGGGTAGGGTTAGATATGTACAGGATTAAGGTGACTAGGCATCAGGGTATATGATTAACAGAGTAACAGCAGTGCAATATGATGATTGTATGCGAGTGTGTGTGCGCGTGTGTTTAGAGTCAGTATGAATATGTGTGCGTGTTATGTGTGTGTGAGCAAATTAAGTGTGTGTGTTTGAGTGTCAGTGTGAGTGAGTGTGTGTGTGTGAGTGAGTGTGTAGTGTGCATAGAGTAAGTGTGAATGCATAGAGTCAGTGCAAAACATTTTAATAAAATTGAAGGGTCAATGCAGATGGATGGCAGGAGTCTCAGCCCCAGGGATGTACTGGGCTGTCCGCATCACCCTCTGTAGCGCCATGCGATCGAGGCCGGTGCAGTTGCCATACCAAGCAGTGATGCGGCCAGTCAATATGCTCTCAATGGTGCAGCTGTAGACCTTTTTGAGGATTTGACGGCCCATGCCAACCTCAGTGTTAATCCAGCGCTTTTGATTGGGGAAGCAGCGAACCTTCACTGTGGGGACAACGTCTGCGATGCATTTCCTAATGAATCCAGTGACGGTGGTGGTTAGAGTCCCGGAACATATTCCAGTCAGTGCTAGGAAAGCAGTCTTGTAGCATAGCCTCCGATTCGGAGGACCATTTCTCAACGGAGCATGTCACAGGTACTTCCTTCTTTGAGCTTCTGCTTGTAGACAGGAAGCAGGAGTATAGAGGCATGATCTGATTTGCTGAAAGGGAGATGAGGGAGGGCCTTGTATGCTTCCTTGTTGGTAGAGTAGCAGTGGTCTAGGACTTTATCGCCCCTAGTGGCAAAGGCGACATGTTGATGGAAGTTGGCCATTACATGTCTTAATGACGTGGAATTAAAATCACCGGCAACAAGGTAAGCAGCCTCCGGTTGCATGGTTTCGTGCTTGAATATAGCCCTGTACAGTTCGTTCAGTGCCAGCTTGTTTTTTTTTGTTCTGAGGTGGGTTGACATTTGAACATCAGGTATTCCAAGACAAGTGAACAATGGTTGAGACTGCCACAGTGCTAGAGTCAGCACACCATCTGTTGTTGATGAAGATGCATACCCCTCCCCCTTCTCGATCTCCCTGAATCCAACGTCCTGTCTGCTCAGCGAATGAAAAGCCATGTTTCAGTCTTCAGAAGGCTGGAGAGAAGAGGTGGCTAGTTTTCCCTTCGCCTTAATAAATCGTCAGGGCTCCCGTCTCCTGCCTCTTTTTTGCCTGCGTTTCCTTTTGGATAGCCCGAAAATGGGGTCTGAATTACACAAAGAGCCCAGGGCGGATGAGTTGAAGTCGAAGTTGAAGCCGGAATTGAGGTCGAAGTTGAGGTCGAAGTTGAGATCGAAGTTGAGGTTAGCAACTGCCAATCTGATGTTCAAAAGGTATTCTCGATGGTAAGAAATGACAGCGGATACATTTTGTGCAAAAAAAAGTCAAGAAATAAAAAGTAGCAAAGTTGGGTCGGAGCTCACAAGACAGCAGACATACAGTACGGCGCCATCTTCCATCAGTGTGAACACAGCTTAAAACAACAATAAAAACCCCTCATTCCCTCTGGAGGGCCAAACACATACAAAGAGGTCAGCAACTACTCTCTCTGTCAGTTTTTGAACCTCTATATTTGTATTATCTCCATTTAGGGCCAAATACATACGAAGACGCCAGCAACCACGTGAAGATGCAGTTTGAGTCTCTGAACTTGAGGCAGGCAGAGAAACCCATATATACCCACATCACCTGCGCTGTAGACACACAGGACGTGAACCAGGCCTTCGACACCATCACAGACGTCATCAAGACCAACCTAAAGGACGCCGGGCTGTTCTGAGCAGCTCCTGACTGAAGGTATGACTATATTACTTCCTGATGCACGCACACACACACACACACACACGCACGCGCACACACACACACACACACACACGCACACACACCTCAGTGCCTAACAGGAAATCCCTGTCTGAGAACCGACATTAGTGCTGTGGCCTGACAGTCACACTGTAATAAGGGCCAGCTGTGGCCAGACTATCGGCAATTCAACTAAAACAACACAATGACATACTGTATTAGGTCTGACATGTCTCAATGACATATTTATGATTATAATTATTACAACCTAATTATACTCCTATTACACGGTCAGTTCAGACCATAGAAATTGATAACTAGAACCGACATACCATTAATATTTCCATGTCCGAGGCGCTTTGTCCCTTCTAGTAATTTTGTTTCTATGGTTCAGACCGTTTGGGACGACTGAAGGATGAGGATGGGATGGATGAGTCATAAAGCTAACATTGACTCAATACTATCCCTGTCCATCGCATGACACTACCGTCCACTCTCCCGTCCACTCTCCCGTCCACTCTCCCGTCCACTCTCCCGTCCACTCTCCCGTCCACTCTCCCGGTCACTCTCCCGTCCACTCTCCCGTCCACTCTCCCGGTCACTCTCCCGTCCACTCTCCCGGTCACTCTCCCGTCCACTCTCCCGTCCACTCTCCCGTCCACTCTCCCGGTCACTCTCCCGTCCACTCTCCCGGTCACTCTCCCGTCCACTCTCCCGTCCACTCTCCCGGTCACTCTCCCGGTCACTCTCCCGTCCACTCTCCCGTCCACTCTACCGTCCACTCTCCCTGTCACATTGCCTCAACACTATCCCAACACTATTAGTCTCCAAAGGACCATTACACAGACCTAATTCAACTATACTTCTCTCAAAACAAATGTGGTCAAATATACATTAGAGCAGGGGTGGGCGTTGACACTGCAGTCTTGGAGCGAGAGTGTAGGCTTTTGTTCCAGTTTGGGTGACCAAAACAAACTGAATTTGCAGACATGATCCATGGCAACAGTAGCATTCACATAGGCACAACAGATTTTCAAAAAATCTCGTAAAAATATGTCTCCAATTGAATTCCTATTTTCTTCCCCTCTCCAGAATTTCCTTCCTACCATCCATCCATCCTTCCATCCATCCATCCATCGGTTTTATTTGGCCACGGTGCTGGAGGAGGTGAACAGTTGGTGGACAACTGTTTATCTGCTGTCACTGTCACCATCTCAGAGTCCTGGTTCCTCGGATGCTCCCTCAACATCAACAATGCTTCACCATCAAGGCATTGGTTTGAAACAAGAGTATCAAGGCAAATTACCTACGGCAGCAGCAGCGGGCCATGTGCTCTTCTTTGTGTGAGGCATTGGACAGCACTTAAATTGTGGAATGTACCTTTAAACCCCTGAAGCTAGTGTTTTTTTGTCTTACCTTCAGTAATCTCCTTTGGTCTCCATTTTAACTTTTAAAAGTTATAACGTAAACAGCTGATATTTCATCGTTTCTAAATGCTATTTTGATCTATTTTAATGGAATAATAACTTAGTAAATAATAGACCTTTATGTCGAGAATAAAGACTTTATCTGAAGTACTGCGAGAAAGAAGGGATCTGTTATTACATGAAATAAAGATGCATAGACTTCCCTTTTCGGTTTCTGATCATTGAAGGTTACACAATCCTATTATTACATAGTAGGGAACATGAACATAAAGACACTTTCCCACGGTGGTTGAAGTGAAATGAAAAGATGCCGGTACACATTAGTGATGGGGGGAAAAAATCTATACAGTTATTTTTTATTTGTTTTGACAATATCGCAATATTATTTTTGCGCTAGCTGGCTATACCTGCAACAAAACTCCAGTATTTTTCCTTCATAGCTTGTTCTCCATCTTATTTTTAAATAGGCAGTCAATTCTTCTGCACTTTTATTTCCCTGACTGATCAAAACTCACGTTCTCATGCTCTCTCGTCTCTCCGCCGCAGACATACGGTGAGCAATATGTCTGAAAACACAGAATCGCAATAAATAAAAAAATCACAGTACCGAATTGCAATACACATAGAATCGTGAGAATCGCAATGCATATCGTATCGGCACCTAAGTGTGGTGATAACGTCTTATCGCGAGGTCCCTGGCAATTCCCAGCCCTAATACTCATAATATCTTAAAGAGCAGATATTCTAACGAGGGTGCCAGAACTCAAGCGGTAGAAAATGACAAGTTCTGGTGCTACAGCACCGGCCCACATCAAGCGCTGCTTTGCCATTGGCTGGGTTGTAAAGACAAAGACAGATAGAGATGAGCAAAGAGCATTAGTGCCATCGTTTAATGGTGTTAAGATTAACAACACATCTGTACAAAGGTCAAAACTGAACCAGAAATATATAACGTAACCCCCAACAATCTGATCCGTCTCCAGGATCGTGTTCATTAGTGCACGCCGTTTCAAATATTGTTGCTAAAAAGTTATTATGAAAGTCTTATTGGACAATTCCAGGTATTCCCCTCCCTGTTTCAGTGTATTTTCTTCTGTTGGGGCCCCTAATTGTGTATATGACCCTGTAAGGTATGGTTCGGAAGTGGTGACAGTCTTTAACCCAGATAGAGTAGTTAGTGGTCATTTGGGAAACCGTTTTCTGGACAAGATTAACGCTCAGTGGAGTTCTCCTTGGTTCCGAACGAATCATATTAACCCAACCCATAACCACGTGGAATTACATACTTACTGTCTCATTTCTCGCCTAAACTTAACCAGTCACATTTGTTTCTGTCCTCGAGGCAGAGTTGCCAAGATGGGATAAGGAAAATTCCATTCTGCAAGTGGGGTCTGAGCATAGCTTCCCCCTCTGTAACAATACATTTTGTTACACACTTGATCTAGTTCCCTGGTCAGTTCATTCTTAACTGAAATCCACAGGATTAAAAAAGCACTTTGAATGAAAAAGTATCTGAATTAATTATAAAAGGCCATAAAATATCAAGCTGTGAATTCCAAAATTCGCTTTCATGCAGGTAATCAATAATTCTTGTTTTATAAAGCGTTGTGATACAATTCTTAATCTCACTTGACAATAATCAATATTCAATTATCAATAAATGTACAATAATGTGCCATACTGAACAACAGTCCTAAATATAAAAATATTGTTCAATACAAAGTGGTCCATTTAAAAAATAATAATAATAAAGATTCAGAAATTAAGATGTAGCCTTGGTAAAACCTCATGTTAAAGTCTACACAAGACTATTGAATTCATGAAAGACGGCTGATTAAAATCTCAAAACGTGAGTAGTACATAGGTGCACATCAAATCAAAATCACATGAATTCCTGATCCATACGTGAACAATAGAGCATTCACACCACTCATAGATGGAAATAAGTGCAATCTGATATTCTTTAAATGAAAAAAAGAAACTATTCCAACTATTTTATACAAAACAACATGCTATAAAATACATAAAATTAGGCATATTACTCAGATTACAACAGATTGGTGGGAGAAAAAAATAAAAATAAAAACAATTGTGAAATATTAAGATGAGATGTTCTGCTTGGTGGTTTGGTCCTTTTTGCATATATACCAGTATTGTGTTAATCTATAGAATGAAAAGAAGGGATGGTCAAAACTCTGGTCAAAAGTAGTGCACTATAATCGGGTATAGGGTGCCATTTGGGACAAAGGCAAGGATTATTTTTCTATCTGTGTGATTGGTTGGTTAATCACCAACTAAATGCCATAAAAACATTACTCCACTCCATATACATTACCTGGAACTAAAAACAGAAGTGCTCTGTAGTCTGACTTGGCAGTTCCCATAGAAGTCACAGTGAGTGTTTCACTAGCGAAGGTTTTACCCACAGTTCAGTTCTGTCCTGCTACTCGGTGTATCAGTGTTGAACATGGAGGAAAATAAAGTGGTCAAAAAAGGACCCAATCCCAAAATGCAGTATTCATCATGGAGCTGCATGCAGTGTCGCAACGAACAGTCTCAGGTTCTACTTTCTATAATCTTCTTCTACTTCCACGATCATCTAATTCAAACATCCCAAGTCATCACCATCCCCCTCCCATGAGGCTCACAGCCCACCAGACACCTACAAAGGATGAAGAGAGAAGACAGGATAAATGTTAACCATTATAAAACTCTGCCAAAGTCTCGTACCGATGACAGCATCTCAGCTGTGCACCTTTATCCAATACCAGGTCTAGGACCTGCACCTTTATCCAATACCAGGTCTAGGACCTGCACCTTTATCTAATACCAGGTCTAGGACCTGCACCTTTATCCAATACCAGGTCTAGGACCTGCACCTTTATCCAATACCAGGTCTAGGACCTGCACCTTTATCCAATACCAGGTCTAGGACCTGCACCTTTAACCAATACCAGGCCTAGGACCTGCACCTTTAACCTTATCCAATACCAGGTCTAGGACCTGCACCTTTATCCAATACCAGGCCTAGGACCTGCACCTTTAACCTTATCCAATACCAGGTCTAGGACCTGCACCTTTATTCAATACCAGGTCTAGGAACTGCACCTTTAACCTTATCCAATACCAGGTCTAGGACCTGCACCTTTAACCTTATCCAATACCAGGTCTAGGACCTGCACCTTTATCCAATACCAGGTCTAGGACCTGCACCTTTAACCAATACGAGGTCTAGGATCTGCACCTTTAACCAATACCAGGTCTAGGATCTGCACCTTTAACCTTATCCAATACCAGGTCTAGGACCTGCACCTTTATCCAATAACAGGTCTAGGATCTGCACCTTTAACCTTATCTAATACCAGGTCTAGGACCTGCACCTTTAACCTTATCTAATACCAGGTCTAGGACCTGCACCTTTAACCAATACCAGGTCTAGGACCTGCACCTTTATCCAATACCAGGTCTAGGACCTGCACCTTTATCCAATACCAGGTCTAGGACCTGCACCTTTAACCTTATCCAATACCAGGTCTAGGACCTGCACCTTTATCCAATACCAGGTCTAGGACCTGCACCTTTATCCAATACCAGGTCTAGGACCTGCACTTTTAACCTTATCCAATACCAGGTCTAGGACCTGCACCTTTATCCAATACCAGGTCTAGGACCTGCACCTTTAACCTTATCCAATACCAGGTCTAGGACCTGCACCTTTATCCAATACCAGGTCTAGGACCTGCACCTTTAACCTTATCCAATACCAGGTCTAGGACCTGCACCTTTAACCAATACCAGGTCTAGGATCTGCACTTTTAACCTTATCCAATACCAGGTCTAGGACCTGCACCTTTATCCAATACCAGGTCTAGGACCTGCACCTTTAACCAATACCAGGTCTAGGATCTGCACCTTTAACCAATACCAGGTCTAGGATCTGCACCTTTAACCTTATCCAATACCAGGTCTAGGACCTGCACCTTTAACCTTATCCAATACCAGGTCTAGGACCTGCACCTTTATCCAATACCAGGTCTAGGACCTGCACCTTTATCCAATACCAGGTCTAGGACCTGCACCTTTAACCTTATCCAATACCAAGTTTAGGACCTGCACCTTTAACCTTATCCAATACCAGGTCTAGGACCTGCACCTTTATCCAATACCAGGTCTAGGACCTGCACCTTTAACCTTATCCAATACCAGGTCTAGGATATATACAGTGCTATGAAAAAGTATTTGCCCCCTTTCTAATTTTCTCTACTTTTGCATATTTGTGATACTGAATGTTATCAGATCTTCAACCAAAACCTAATATTAGATAAAGGGAACATAAGTGAACAAATAACACAACAATTACATATTTATTTCATTTATTCCATAAACAAAGTTATGCAACACCCAATTCCCCTGTGTGAAAAAGTAATTGCCCCCTTACACTCAATAACTGGTTGTGCCACCTTTAGCTGCAATGACTCCAACCAAATGCTTCCTGTAGTTGTTGATCAGTCTCTCACGTCGCTGTGGAGGAATTTTGGCCCACTCTTCCATGCAGAACTGCTTTAACTCAGTGACGTGTGGGTTTTCAAGCATGAACTGCTTGTTTCAAGTTATGCCACAACATATCAATTGGGATTAGGTCTGGACTTTGACTAGGCCATTCCAAAACTTCCAATTTGTTGCTTTTTAGCTATTTTCATGTAGACTTGATTGTGTGTTTTGGATCATTGTCTTGCTACATGACCCAACTGCGCTTCAGCTTCAGCTCACAGACGGATGGTCTGACATTCTCCTGTAGAATTCTCTGATACAGAGCAGAATTCATGGTTCCTTCTATTAAGGCAAGTCGTCCAGGTCCTGAGGCAGCAAAGCATCCCCAAACCATCACACCACCACCACCATGCTTGATCTTTGGTATGATGTTCTTACTGTGGAATGCAGTGTTTGGTTTTCGCCAGGCATAATGGGACCCATCTCGTCCAAAAAGTTGACTCAAGTTTGCCAAAAAGCACCTGGATGATCATCAAGACTCTTGGAAGAACGTTCTATGGACAGATGATTCAAAAGTATAACTTTTTGGACGACATGGTTCCAGTAATGCCTGGCGAAAACCAAACTCTACATTCCACAGTAAGAACATCATACCAAAGGTCAAGCATGGTGGTGATGGTGTGATGGTTTGGGGATGCTTTGCTGCCTCAGGACCTGGACGACTTGCCTTAATAGAAGGAACCATGAATTCTGCTCTGTATCAGAGAATTCTACAGGAGAATGTCAGACCATCCTTCTGTGAGCTGAAGCTGAAGCGCAGCTGGGTCATGAAGCAAGACAATGATCCAAAACACACAATCAAGTCTACATGAAAATTGCTAAAAAGCAACAAATTGGAAGTTTTGGAATGGCCTAGTCAAAGTCCAGACCTAATCCCAATTGAGATGTTGTGGCAGGACTTGAAACGAGCAGTTCATGCTTGAAAACCCACACGTCACTGAGTTAAAGCAGTTCTGCATGGAAGAGTGGGCCAAAATTCCTCCACAGCGACGTGAGAGACTGATCAACAACTACAGGAAGCATTTGGTTGGAGTCATTGCAGCTAAAGGTGGCACAACCAGTTATTGAGTGTAAGGGGGCAACTACTTTTTCACACAGGGGAATTGGGTGTTGCATAACTTTGTTTATGAAATAAATTAAATAAATATGTAATTGTTGTGTTATTTGTCCACTTATGTTCCCTTTATCTAATATTAGGTTTTGGTTGAAGATCTGATAACATTCAGTATCACAAATATGCAAAAGTAGAGAAAATTAGAAAGGGGGCAAATACTTTTTCATAGCACTGTATATATATATATATAATTTTTTTACAGGGATTCAGTAACTACAAAGTTCAAAGGTCACTGACCTGAACATCCCCGTCACCTCAGTAGAGTCCACACTCCTGGAGGTTGATCTTGATGATGACGTCTGTGACAGCGTCGAACACGAACTGGACGTTCTTGGTGTCGGTGGCGCAGGTGAAGTGGGTGTAGATCTCTTTAGTTCCCTTCCTCCTGTTCAGGTCCTCAAACATCGACACTGAAATAGGCGGCAGCTTCCTATATGTACTGGCTCTGTAATAATAAAAGTGCATTATGGGTACTGTAGCTACACTAGATAGGCTGCAGCCTCACACTATGTAACTGGACTGGTCATATAATAAATAAGTGCATTAAGGGTATGGTATACCTAGATATAGGCTGCAGCCTCCTCATATGTACTGGCACCTGCTAATAATAATAGTGCATTATGGGTACTGTAGTACACTAGATATAGCTGCAGCCTCCTCATATGACGGGCACCTGTAATAATAATATAACAATAAAATAATAATAATAATAATTAATAATAAATTGCATTATGGGTACTGTAGTACACAAGATATAGGATGCTGCCTCTCAATGTACTGGCACCTGAATATAATAAGTGCATTATGGGTACGTAGTACACTAATATAGGCGGCAGCCTCCTCATATGTACTGGCACCTGTAATAATAATAAGTGCATTATGGGTACTGTAGTACACTAGATATAGGCTGCAGCCTCCTCATATGTACTGGCACCTGTAGTAATAATAAGTGCATTATGGGTATTGTAGTACACTAGATATAGGCTGCAGCCTCCTCATATGTACTGGCACCTGTAATAATAATAACAATAATAATAATAATAATAATAATAATAATAATAATAATTGCATTATGGGTACTGTAGTACACAAGATATAGGATGCAGCCTCCTCATATGTACTGGCACCTATAATAATAATAATAATAATAATAATAAGTGCATTATGGGTACTGTAGTACACAAGATATAGGCTGCAGCCTATATGTACTGGCACTTGGGTTGATGAGGAGACAGACATCAGAACAAGAGCATTATGGGTAATGTAGTACACTGGATGTAGGCTGCCCCCTCCTCATATGTACTGGCACCAGGCAGGGTTGGTGAGGAGATGGGACACCATGACGTTAGCTTCAGAGCAATCATTACTAAGACACACCAGGCTCTTGTTCAATCGTCATGAAACTGAACAAAACAGGTAGGGACTCCCTGAACTTCAAAAATACCCCCACCTCTGCATCAACATAATCAAAAACCAAAGACATGCCAATAGTTACCAATTCTGTGCATTATATATATATATATATATTTAATGTTTACTACTATATATATACATATATATATATATATATATATACTACTACTATACAACTAATACAGAGGAGAAACCTCATTCAGTACAGTTCCCTAACTAATCAACCTACTCCATCCTACAGTGCATTCCCTTGTCTCCTTAAATCCTATCATAGGAGTGGAGATCAGGAGTAAGACAGGGGTCTGGGTCAAACTGACAAGCCTCAGAAAGAGCACTGATACGACAGGGGAGACACATGCAGGTGTAAAACTCCTATTCTGACGTGATCTAATAGAGTTGGATGAAATTATTCAGAGACTAAGGGTTATATCCACGTCTGGTTAGTATTAGAGGTATTAAACTCTATATTTTTCAGTGTAAACTTATACCAGATGTAAAGTGTGTAGAAAGGATAATGGAGCTGTATACACCGAGTGTTGAAAACATTTCCATAACATAGACTGACCAGGTGAATCCAGCTGAAAACTGTGATCCCTTATTGATGTCACTTGTTAAATCCACTTAAATTAGTGTAGATGAAGGGGTTAAAGAAGGATTGTAAGCCTTGAGACAATCAAGAATGGTCCACCACCCAAAGGACATCCAGCCAACTTGACACAACTTTGGGAAGCATTGGAGTCAACATGGGGCCAGCATCCCTGTGGAACGCTTTCGACACCTTGTGGAGTCCATGCCCCCACCAATTGACGCTGTTCTGAGGGCAAAAAGGGGAGGGGGGGGGGGGGGGGGGGGGGGGGGGGGGGGGGGGGGGGTGCAATGTTTTGTACACTCAGTGTATTTTTAAATAAGATCATCTTTGAGAACTAACAAATCACCAAAATAAAAACTAGTCAGTCAGGAAGAATGTCATGGCATGGGGCCCCCATTGATTCTGTTATAATGTTTGAGTCACTTGTAACGCCAAGGTAGTGGGTTCGATCCCCGGGACCACCCCATACACAAAAAAAAATTATGCACGCATGACTGTAAGTCGCTTTGGATAAAAGCGTCTGCTAAATGGCATATTATTATTATTATTATTATTATTATTATTATTATTATTATTATTATTATTATACTTACATAGCATAATAACACGGCATAAGCCAAGGCAACATGTGTAGAATTTCAGGAAATTAGCTTTAAAACTGAAACATTTCTCTCAGCCCCATGTCAAAATGTGTTGAATTGCAGGAAATTAGCTTTAAAACTGAAACATTTCTCTCAGCCCCATGTCAAAATGTGTAGAATTGCAGGAAATTAGCTTTAAAACTGAAACATTTATCTCAGCCCCATGTCAAAATGTGTAGAATTGCAGGAAATTAGCTTTAAAACTGAAACATTTCTCTCAGCCCCATGTCAAAATGTGTAGAATTGAAGGAAATTAGCTTTAAAACTGAAACATTTCTCTCAGCCCCATGTCAAAATGTGTAGAATTGCAGGAAATTAGCTTTAAAACTGAAACATTTCTCTCAGCCCCATGTCAAAATGTGTAGAATTGCAGGAAATTAGCTTTAAAACTGAAACATTTCTCTCAGCCCCATGTCAAAATGTGTAGAATTGCAGGAAATGAGCTATAAAACAGCAACATGTTGTCTCTAAGGCCAAGAGGGTGGCCTCTAAAACCGTGCCATTGCTGAAAAAATAAAAATCCTGTGTGTCTGTCAGTATGGTTAGTATTAGAGGTATTAAGCTCTGTATCAGTCTCTCTGTCAGTATGGTTAGTATTAGAGGTATTAAGCTCTGTATCAGTCTCTCTGTCAGTATGGTTAGTATTAGCAGCCTGGTCTCATAGACTAGAAGTAACATAGTAAATGAACAACTTTAGCATTATAACTAATTAACAACTTTTCAACTACTTACTACCTTTTAGCTATAACTCACAACCCAAAGGTTGCGTGTTCGAATCTCATCACAGACAATTTTAGCCAATTAGCAACTTTTCAACTACTTACTACTTTTTAGCTACTTTACAACTACTTAGCATGTTAGCTAATCCTTCCCCTAACCTTAAACGTAACCCTTAAACCTAACTCCCAAACTTAACCCTAACATTTATTCATTTTTTACTTAACCCTAACCTTAACCCCTAACATAGCTAACACTAGCCAGCTAGCTATCATACATTTAGCAAATTCGCAACATATTGTACATTTTGCTAATTCATAACATATAATACGAATTGTAATTCGTAACATATACGAAATGGGTGATTGACATCAACAAATTAATACATACCATACGAAACGTATCATATTAAATGGAGTATCTCGGATTTACGTACAGAATAATACAAAATGCTCTGAGACCAGGTTAATATTAGAGGTATTAAACTCTATGTCTGTGACTGTCTGGTTAGTATTTGAAGTATTCAGCTCTGTATCTGTCTGTCTCTCTGTCTGTCTGGGCTTTCACGCCTTGTATTATATATAGCAGACCATAAAATTGTATTTTAAGACTGTCACTGAGCCAATGTCAACAAACATACAGGTAACTGCCAAAATATTTAAAACACTTGAGTAAATGAGGGACACAAAGTATACTGTACAAAAATATAATTGCAACATGCAACAATTTCAAAGATTTTACAGAGTTACAGTTCATAGAAGGAAATCAGTCATTTGAAATAAATTAGTTAGGCCCTAATTTATGGATATCACATGACTGGGCAGGGGCGCAGCCATTGATGGGCCTGGGAGGGCATTGGCCCACCCACTGGGGCCCAGCCAATCTGAACTAATTTTCCCCCTTCTCCCTCAGACGATCCCGCAGGTGAAGAAGCCGGATGTGGAGGTCCTGGGTTGGCGTGGTTATATGTGGTCTGCGGTTATGAGGCCGGTTGGACGTACTGCCGAATTCTCTAAAATGACGTTGGAGGCGGCTTATGGCAGAGAAATGAACATTCAATTCTCTGGCAACAGCTCTGTCGGACATTCCTGCAGTCAGCATGCCAATTGCACGCTCCCTCAACTTGTGGCATTGTGTTGTGTGACAAAACTGCACATTTTAGAGTGGCCTTTTATTGTCCCCAGCACAAGGTGCACCTGTGTAATGATCATGCTGTTTAATCAGCTTGTTGATATGTCACACCTGTCAGGTGGAAGGATTAATTTGGCAAAGAAATTCTTACTAACAGGGATGAAAACAAATTTGTGCACAATATTTGAGAGAAATAAGCTTTTATGCGTATGGAACATTTCTGGGATCTTTAATTTCAGCTCATGAAACCAACACTTTACATGTTGCATTTATATTTTTGTTCAGTATATATTGAAAGCAGGTGCTTCCACACAGATGTGGTTCCTGAGTTAATCAAGTAATTAACATCCCATCATGCTTAGGGTCATGTATCAAAATGCTGGCAGGCCATTATTTTGGCTAACATGGCAATGCCCCCATAGGATGACAATACCCTCATCCACACGGCACGAGTGGTCCCTGAATGGTTTGATGAGCATGAAAATGATGTAAACCATATGCCATGGCCGTCTCAGTCACCAGATCTCAACCCAATTGAACACTTAGGGGAGATTCTGGAGCGGCGCCAGAGACTGCGTTTTGCACCACAATCAACAAAACACCAAATGTTGGAACTTCCTGTGGAGAATGGCGTCGTATCCCTCAAATAGAGTTTCAGACACTTGTAGAATCTATGCCAAGGTGCATTGAAGCCGTTCTGGCTCGTAGTGGCCCAACGGCCTATTAAGACACTTTATGTTGGAGTTTCCTTTATTTTTGCAGTTACCTGTGTAAATCGGTAGTACAAATGCAAGCCAAAGCAAAGTTCTGAGAAGTTCAGAAAAAAGCTAACAGTTGCTATTTAAATATGCTTTATTTAGGTTGCTAATGGAATGGACCCAAAATAGCAAACAAAATCGGCGGCTTTCTCAACACTGCCTTAGGTTTTTTTTTTTTTTTTAAGTACACAAACTCCCTAGTTAAACCAGGAACACCTACAACACTTCCAAATATTTTACATCATGTATTTGGTGTGTGAGAGTGTGTTTGTGTGTGTACTACTCAATGTGTGTGATCCTCACCTGCGTACTCGGGGTAACAGATGGTGAGTGGACTCCTGCCGATCTTCTCATCAAACAGATCCTTCTTGTTGAGGAACAGGATGATGGAGGTGTCTGTGAACCACTTGTTGTTGCAGATGGAGTCAAACAGCTTCATGCTCTCATGCATCCGGTTCTGTAGGGGAGGACCGAACGGTTCATTAATAGGACCCAGGCCAGGTGGCAAGTAACGTAAATGCTAATGCTAAACTAAAAATGCTATGTACCCTGAGCCCTGAGCCGGGTAGCACCGAGACGTTTTGAAAAGGAGGTGTGAGAATAGAGTAAGGGACATCTCCCTCTTCCCACTGGAGTAGCTACGACATCAACGGCATCCTCTACTCTCCTCCTACTGATTGACCCCATCACCCTCACCCCACTTCTCCACCCCTCCTCACTACTTTCCCATCCATCCTCCCTTCTCATCATCTAGCCCCTCAGCTCCTGCATTCTGCTCATTTACCCCTCACTCGTCCACCTCCACTTCTCTTCCCTACCACTGATCCAGCCCCAATTCCCACGGCCCGTCTCACCGCCAAGGGCATCACGCTAACCAGACACTACTCCAAAAGCCCTTCACTCCTCTACGCCATGCCGGTGCCCCCCAAGCTGCGCTCGACACGGCGTTCGAGCGTACCACCTCGGTCTCCGCGTCACAAGACAGACCGCTAGCCACCCAGACTCGAGTGCTCGCTCAACCGGTCGAGTCAATGCCTCGCCACAAGCTCACCCAGACGGCACCGCGTCCCGATACCCGCAGCATACGACACCGCGAGAGAACAGCGCCGCACAACAATCAGCCCCACGCGACCGTGCCCCCCACCCCGCACTCGTCGTCGCCTCTTGCCCGGCGTCCCTCCTGCACACCCTAACTCCTCTCCTCTGGACAGACCACAACCATCCCTCCTAACCACCTCGATCACGACCCCCCTCACCACACGACGAGAGCCCCCGAAGCGACGCAAACGATCCCCCACTCCAGACACGGGACCCCAGACAGACGAACCCGACGCCAGCAACGCGCGCCCGGAGCGACACCGCCTGCAAGGAAACCACCAGACACCAAGCCCAACGCGACAACGCGCCCGAGCGCACTGAGCCACCGCCCGCAGCCGACACAGCCAACACCGCACTGCTGCCCTGACCCGTGCCCCCTACCACAACCCCTCCCACTCGCCAACATCACCAGCACAGCCCCTCCCAAACCCGCTTCATCCCGAGTCCCACCTCCTCGACCCCTCACTCTCTCCCTTCTCTCCCCCCTCCTCAGCCCTCACTCTCCCTTCTCTCCCCCTCCTCACCCACTCACTCTCTCCCTTCTCTCCCCTTCTCCTCCTCCCCCTCTGCTCCCCCTCTCCTCTCCTTACCATCTCTTCGTCCTCTGCCAACACCAGGTCATAGTCGCTGAGCGCCACACAGAAGATGATGGATGTCACTCCCTCAAAGCAGTGGATCCACTTCTTCCGCTCCGACCGCTGGCCGCCCACGTCAAACATCCTGGGGTGAAACAGAGACAAAGACACCGAGCGTGTGTTACAGCAGGGTCAGGGGTCAGGGGCAGGGGTCAGGGCAGGAGGGAGGTACTGCAGTGTGAAGGTACACATACAGCAGAACTATTGATAGATTTGACAAGATTTGACGACCGATTACCCATTTTGGTTGTTTTACTTTGCATGCATGCACCATACACCTCTCACTACTTTCACTTGAGCAAATTCAGGCTAATTTCTTGACCTGTACCCCACCATGGTCCCAGACAGTAGAGGACACGTTTACACTGATCAACTCAACTCAACTGAAATAACACACAGACTGACAGACACACAGACAGAGAGACAACATATGCCCCTGCCTGCATTAACCCAGCCAATGCAGTCATCCCAGTCATTTCTAGGAAATAATCTTTGCTGAACATATCAACCGCATGAACAGACTGTGTCCAAACCACTTTTTAACTGTGCATTCCTTTTATTCTAGGGAGTTGTTCCACTGTGCTTTGGCTTCTCTTTGACTGTCTGCTTACTGTAAACTAGCTGGTGTCTAAGGGCTGACTGATTATATGGCTGTACGGCTGTATTTGCTAGCCATTACCTGGTTGGCAATTAATTAACAACAAATGGGATTATGTTTGTCTAAACTAATTAGGTCTGATTAATGAAGCGATCTAATTAATTCATCATGTTGACACTGAAACTGTTGTTTGCCTCATTAGGCTCTGGCTTGGCACTGAGCTGAGTATTCTCAAATGACCAAAATCTGTCTGAATCAAAAGTGTGTGTGTGTGTGTGTGTGTGTGTGTGTAGCTAGCAGTGGGTATACTGACTTGAAGTAGAGCTCTTTGAAGGTAAAGTGTGTCTCCACGATGCCGGTAGTCTTGACTCTGGTCCTCAGCACGTCTTGCTGGGTGGGGACATAACTCGGTTGGGTGATACGGTCCAAGTCATTCAGATAACTGAGGGACAGAGACAGAAAGAGAAAGAGAGAGAGATCAATGAAAAAACCAATTGCATACATAATCCTTCCATACATGTAATCTGATTCAACAAGGGATTCCAATACGACATAAATTATTTTAACAATCAATACACAGTGAACACTTAATAACTGATACAATGAATCAATGACCGTCCTACAACTGTTCACAGACAAAACATACATAGAGTTGACCAGCTTCAAATACCACCATAGACAGCATGCCTAGACCATCTTCAAGCACCACCATAGACAGCATGTCTAGTCCCGCTTCAAGAACCACCATAGACAGCATGTCAAATCAAACTTTATTTATATAGCACATTTCAGACATGAATGGAACGCAATGGGCTTTACAGGAAAAACATTATAAATAATGAAAATAAAACAAATATTTACTAAACAACAAACATAAGAGGATAAAAACCCCAAAAGAATAACAATAAAACTGAATGTCTAAAAAGCTCCCTGAGGAAAAGCAAAGCTAAAAAGTTTATTTTATTTTTTACATACATTACCAGTCAAAAGTTTGGACACACCTACTCATTCAAGGGTTCTTCTTTATTTTTTTACTATTTTCTACATTGTAGAATAATAGTGAAGACATCAAAACTATGAAATAACACATATGGAATCATGTAGTAACCAAATAAAAGTGTTAAACAAATCAAAATATATTTTAGATTTGAGATTATTCAAAGTAGCCACCCTTTGTCTTGATGACAGTTTTGCACACTCTTGGCATTCTCTCAACCAGCTTCATGAGGAATGCTTTTCCAACAGTCTTGAAGGAGTTCCCACATATGCTGAGCACTTGTTGGCTGCTTTTCCTTCACTCTGCGGTACAACTCATCCCAAACCATCTCAATTGGGTTGAGGTCGGGTAATTGTGGAGGCCAGGTCATCAGATGCAGCACTCCATCACTCTCCTTGGCCAAATAGCCCTTACACAGCCTGGAGGTGTGTTTTGGGTCATTGTCCTGTTCTAAAACAAATGACAGTCCCACTAAGCCCAAACCAGATGGGATGGCGTATCGCTGCAGAATGCTGTGGTAGCCATGCTGGTTAAGTGTGCCTTGAATTCTAAATATATCACAGACAGTGTCACCAGCAAAGCACCATCACACCTCCTCCTCCATGCTTCACGGTGGGAACCACACATGCGGAGATCATCCGTTCACCTACTCTGCGTCTCACAAAGCCACGGCGGTTTGAACAAAATATCTCAAATTTGGACTCATCAGACCAAAGGATAGATTTCCACCGGTCTGATGTCCATTGCTCATGTTTCTTGGCCCAAGCAGGTCTCTTCTTCTTATTGGTGTCCTTTAGTAGTGGTTTCTTTGCAGCAATTCAACCGTGAAGGCCTGATTCACACAGTCTACTCTGAACAGTTGATGTTGAGATGTGTCTGTTACTTGAACTCTGTGAAGCATTTATTTGGGCTGCAATCTGCAGTTAACTCTAATGAACTTATCCTCTGCAGCAGAGGTAACTCTGGGTCTTCCTTTCCTGTGGCGGTCCTCATGAGAGACAGTTTCATCATAGTGCTTGATGCTTTTTGCGACTGCACTTGAAGAAACTTTCAAAGTTCTTGAAATTTTCCGGATTGACTGACCTTCATGTCTTAAAGTAATGATGGACTGTCATTTCTCTTTGCTTATTTGAGCTGTTCATAATATGGATTTGGTCTTTTACCAAATAGGGCTATCTTCTGTATACCACCCCTACCTTGTCACAACACAACTGATTGGCTCAAACGCATTAAGAAGGAAAGAAATTACATAAATTAACTTTTAACAAGGCACACTTGTTAATTGAAATGCATTCCAGGTGACTACCTTGTGAAGCTGGTTGAGAGAATGCCAAGAGTGTGCAAAGCTGTCATCAAGGCAAAGGGTGGCTATTTGAAGAAACTCAAATATAACATATTTTGATTTGCTTAACACTTTTTTGGTTACTACATGATTCCATATGTTATTTCATAGTTTTGATGTCTTCACTATTATTCTACAATGTAGAAAAAATATTAAAATAAAGAAAAACCCTTGAATGAGTAGGTGTGTCCAAACTTTTGACTGGTACTGTATGTCCACAGTTTCGGCCCCCCTCCGGATCTCTGGCAGGCTATTCCAGAGGCAGGGGGAATAGTAACTGCCTCTCCATGCCCCTTTGGGATAGTTAAAAGGCCAGTGCCAGAGGACCTGAGGGACCTACTGGGTACATAACTCAAAAACATGTCTGATATGTATTGGGGTGCACAATCGTGGATTGATTTAAAAACCAATAGAATAATCTTTAAATGAATTCTAAAGACTCACAGGCAGCCAGTGCAGAGACCTTGATAACCGATGTAATGTGTGCTCTCCGTCTGGTCTTGGTCAGTACCCGTGCTGCAGCATTCTGTACATTTTGCAGTTGACCAATGGCTTTCTTGGGTAACCAGACATGAGAGCATTAAGGTAGTCAAGCCTGCTTGTAATAAAAGCATGGATGAGTCTCTCTGTATCAGCCTGAGATAGAAACCTGTTTCTCAGGTGGTAAAAAGCTATTTTGGTCATATTCCTAATGTGTGATTCAAAATTGAGTTCATAATCTAAAATGACACCCAGGTTTATCTTTATTACCCGGTAATTAAAATGTGCGGCCAGATTCTCTCTGTGCTTTGGCTCCAACAATAAGTACATAATTCTTGTCTTGATTTAGCCGGAGGAAGTTGTGAGCCATCCAAGTAATTCAATCACTAATACAGTCTAATAATTTATCTGTGGCGCTAAAATCCTCTGGTGACACAGAAATGTAAAGTTGTGTATCGTCTGCGTAGCAGTGAAAATCAATGCCGTGCTTTTTGATAATGCTGCCAAGGGGTAACATACAGTACATTCGGAAAGTATTCAGACTCCTTTACTTTTTCCACATTTTGTTACATGCCTTATTCTAAAATTAATTTTAAAAATATATATCTTCATCAACCTACACACAATACCCGTTAATGACGAAGCAAAAACAGGTTTTTAGACATTTCTTAAAAAGGAAAAACTTAAATATCACATTTACATAAGTATTCAGACCCTTTACTCAGTACTTTGTTGAAGCACCTTTGGCAGCGATTACAGCCTCGATTCTTAGGTTTGACGCTACAAGCTTGGCACACCTGTATTTGGGGAGTTTCTCCCATTCTTCTCTGCAGATCCTTTCAAGCTCTGTCAGGTTGGATTGGGAGCGTCGCTGCACAGCTATTTTAAGGTCTCTCCAGAGATGTTCGATTGGATTCAAGTCCGGGCTCTGGCTGGGCCACTCAAGGACATTCAGAGACGTGTCCTGAAGCCACTCCTGCATTGTCTTGGCTGTGTGCTTAGGGTTGTTGTCCTCGCCCCAGTCTGAGGTCCTGAGTGCTCTGGAACAGGTTTTCATCAAGGATCTCTCTGTACTTTTCTCCGTTCATCTTTCCCTCAATCCTGACTAGTCTCCAAGGTCCTGCCACTGAAAAACATCCCCACAGCATGATGCTGCCACCACCATGCTTCACCGTTGGGATGGTACCATGTTTCCTCCAGACGTGACACTTGGCATTCAGGCCAAAGAGTTCAATCTTGGTTTCATCTTACCATAGAATCTTATTTCTCATGGTCTGAGAGTCTTTAGGTGCCTTTTGGCAAACTCCAAGCGGGCTGTCATGTGCCTTTTACTGAGGAGTGGCTTCCGTCTGGCTACTCTACCATAAAGGCCTGATTGGTGGAGTGCTGCAGATATGGTTGTCCTTCTGGAAGGTTCCCCCATCTCCACAGAGGAACTCTGGAACTCTGTCAGAGTGACAATCGGGTTCTTGGTCACCTCCCCTTCTTCCACAATTTTGGCCGGGTGGCCAGCTCTAGGAAGAGTCTTGGTGGTTCCAAACTTCTTCCATTTAAGAATGATGGAGGCCACTGTGTTTTTTGGGACCTTCAATCCTGCAGAAATGTTTTGGTACCCTTCCCCAGAGCTGTGCCTCAACACAATCCAGTCTCGGAGCTCTACGGACAATTCCGTCGACCTCGTGGCTTAGATTTTGCTCTGACATGCACTGTCAACTGTGGGACCTTATATAGACAGGTGTGTGTCTTTCCAAATCATGTCCAATCAATTGAATTTACCACAGGTGGACTCCAATCAAGTTGTAGAAACATCTCAAGGATGACCAATGGAAACAGGATGCAGCTGAGCTCAATTTCGAGTCTCATACAAAGGGTCTGAACACTTATGTAAATAAGGTATTTTTGTTTTTTATTTGTATACATTTGCATAAATTCCTAAAAACCTGTTTTCGCTTTGTCATTATGGGGTATTGTGTGTAGATTGATGAGCAAAAAAATTAATTAAATCTATTTTAGAATAAGGCTGTAACGAAGAAGAAAAAATGCACTGTATATAAACTGAATAGTACGAAAAACTTTGGAGTACTTTAAATGAAATGATGGACAGAAAGAAATTCAACTCCAGATGGCTTATTCATCACAAAACCATTTGATGTTGCCAATGATTCCTCCATTGGCAAAGTGGGCAAACTTGGGCAGGAAATGCCAACAACGAACAGTGAGCCATCGAATTCCTGCATAAAAAAATCTACTAATGAAAGAAAAGCATTGTAAGTTAGAATTTTGTAAAGTTAGTGTGGGAGAAGCAGATTTTAAATTTTATTTTTTTAATCAATAATGACAAACCTCCTGGCATTGGCAAACTTAGATGGAAAGCTACTGAGGATGGTAGCTGACTCTATAGCCACTCCTATCTGTCATATATTTTTAATCTGAGTCTGGAGGAAGGTGTTTGTCCTCAGGCCTGGAGGGAAGTCAAAGTCATTCCGCTACCCAAGAGTGGTAAAGTGGCCTTTACTGGTTCTAACAGCAGACCTATCAGCTTGTTGCCAGCTCTTAGCAAACTGTTGGAAAAAATGGTGTTTGACCAAATAGAATGCTATTTCTCTGTAAACAAATTGAAAT